CAATAGGAAATAAAAAATAGACCAGTTTTCACAAAATGAGGAAGAAAGAGAAATACAAAAATCAGGGGTCAATCGAAAAATTCCGTTGTGATTGTTGGACTATAAAGTCAGTTATGTGATACACGCTTAGGCGATCATATATCTTTCAATACATGACTGAGAAGACAGTTTTTTTTTCGCGCAGTATGTTGTTATTTCTTTCTGCGGTAGACCTGTTGCCATCTAAGTCTATAGAACCCGGCCTGTTCTGCTATTTACCCATAGCTGGGATTTGAAGAAGTGAATTTTTGCCTTTCCCAAGGGTATTAACACGTAAGTGAATTTAATGGATTCGACTGGATTTCGAACTCTGCTCTCCGATTGCTCGTTCCGAGCCAGTATCCATTGCTTCACCTTGCCTGCCTCTGGACTATAAAACGTGATAGTGCCCCGCCCCTATGAAGCAAAATGTGTGGGAGAGAAAGAAGTGTGAAAGCACAGGATTAAGAAAGAGAGATCATTGCAATTGATCTTATATCGACATTTTTGAAAATTGGATGTAACATGTAAGCATGAAATAGGTGAGAAGGTGGGAAAGAAAATTACTAGAATATAACTTACGATTGTATCTAATATTTCAACAGTAAATCTATGAAACCGAGTTACCAATCTAGCAGCTTTATTAAATTCTTTCGATTGATGTACCAAGAAAGAGAACTCTTTAAAAAAAAAAAACTACCATGAAAATATTTTTACAAAATACTGAGGGAAGCCTTTTCACCGTTGTGGGAATGTGACTGTAATCGAGATGCCAGGTAAGGACCGATAACATAACAGACCTTTCTTTGGATTTTGTCATGGATCTCGAGATATATAGCCGTAAGATCAGACCTGATATAGCAGCAATATTAAATGCACGGACGAATAGTAGATTTATAAATGTGCAAAATTGATTCTGACGAGAAAATTGTCTGTGACAACAGAATGAACGTAACTTGCTTCTGGGCGAATATCGAAGGGACTCAGATGTTTATTTCCAGCAACTTGATCGAGAAATAAATTGTTACGTTCTACTTTGATAAAGAGAGAGTTAATTTATTCAGCAAAACATATGTAAAACATTTCGTGATCTCCATAATAAACATCAACAACAACTCCATGAAAATGTTCCCCGGAACCCACTGTTATATCGAAACAGATACCTTATACAATTGAGAACGGGTTAAAATATGAAGTGAGTTCTTGGTCTAAGGATAAACTACATCCAGCAGCAAGGCCCGTGATCAAGAGATTGGAGGTTTAGGAGCGTTGACATACATCGTAAATGTTATTGTTCCTAGATCCACCCTGCCGTAGGATGGTAGCAACTGTTAAGGAGACAATTATGGCAGATAAAGAAGCGTTGATATGCCGTAAAAGATATAGATCGACGATATTATAAAGTGACATATTCGATAGTAAAATAAGTATATCTTCAAAACACTACCCACACATATACAATAGGGCAGTTCGATTTTGGAAAAGTGATATTCCACTCAATTTGAAAGATGGTGATTGACATGGTAGAAAAGGACATAAAATTTTTTTATTCCAAATCGTTACCATTTTTGAGGAAACGAGTTTAATGATTAAGTTTAAGGCTTAAAATCATAGAATTGGAATTTCTTTCCAGTTATCAGTGAAAGGCTTAAAGCACAGACTTATAAAATTTATAATTTTCTGAAGCCTTATAAACGTAAGATGTAAGACACACGCACATTATTACTAAATCATTTTGTCATACATTAAGATACTCATTTAATTCAAGAGAAAATTATACTGAAACAATTTAGCTATATGATGATGTAATATATTCTACAGTGTAGAATTTTTTGTGCGATGTTCTCTAAACAATGCAAATTTAAAACATTGTGTCTTATAATTTGTACCCAGCAGTATTATAGTGTTATATATACACTTTTGTCTATATTTTATTTTTATTAATTATTATCTAACATATTATCTAAAAATGTTATCATTAAGTAGTCTTTTTTGGAATCTTTTATAATTTTTAACACAATTTTTACTTATCGAATAAAATAAAATAAAAATCTGCATATTTTGCTTGTGGTTGTTTATAATTAGACTTCTGGTTTGAATATATTTTCCATTCCGTGTATCTAATACAAAAATATATCAACCTTATTTGGATTTATTCTTGAAACATTTTGAAGTCAGCCCGTGAACAAAAAAAAACTAAAAAGCTATAGAAATTAGGTATTTCTGTACATTTTATTTCAGACGATTTTAACACGAAATAATCTAATTCTTGAGGTTAAAACTTACCACCTCAACCCCGAGGGCAATGTTGACCTTCTAAAAATGGGAAAAATCAACCTGCCCTAATTTACTAGATAAAGAAAAAAAAATTATAAAACCACGAACAGCCAGGAGAACTCTCATAGTGAAGTCGGGAGAAATTGCTTCTAGCTTATGATGAGAGACCTTTCCTTTATAACGTTTTTCAACATGTAACTGGATTACAAGAATTACTATTCGATCTCTCTTTTTACAACAACCTAGATGTAATAATCTAGCAAATTAAAATAAGGAACGCTAGGAGGCCTCTGATTGACGTAGGCGATTGTAACGTCATTTTGGTTGAACACTCCATTTTCTCGTGGGTCACGTGACAAGAAGCAGAGTATGTACGTCTTCACCCCTCAATAGAAAAGGTGAAAATGTAGTATCCAGGTATAGGCGGTATTATGGATTATGTATGAGTGCAGGTTAAGTGCCACTAAGTATAGTGATATTAAATAGCCACTGTTAACCCCCAATCGAAGAACTCAGTGCATGTCACTGTGTATATAATCGTGAAGTCTATGCCTAACCATCTGTTCTTCTGATACTGACTGTATTCTAGTCGGCTTTGGTTGGCGGCAGTCGCTTCGAACATGAGTTGCATTTCATTTCCTGCGTCAGATTAGAATCTTATATATTAATTCTCTTGGTATATCTGAAGTCAAAATCAGAGTATTAAAATGCAGATTACATTTTTCATCAGGTTATTTTCTACATATGATCAAATAAATATATGTACTAAAAACTATCTATCTGTCTATGTATCTATCTATTTCAGACTCTTCATATCTCAATCAGTTGTGTGTCATGCATGATACATGCTTAGGCGATCATGTATCTGTCGATACATGACTGACGAGGCAGATTTTTCCCGCAGGAGGTTGCCATTTCTTTCTGCGGTAAACCAGTTGCCATCCAAGGCTATATAACACGGTCCATTCTGCTACGTATCCATAGTTTGGAGGAGAAGAAGAGGATTCATACCTTTCCCAAGAGTAATAGCACGTGGATTCGACTGGAATTCCAACTCGGCTATCCGATTCCTCAATCCTTGCCGCTATCCATTCTTCCCTTCATATCTATCTATCTATCTATCTATCTATCTATCTATCTATCTATCTATCTATTTAATCATTTCATCACAAGCAAGGCGGGAAATTTACTGCTATGCAGTGGGTTACAGGGAGTGAAGGTTGGCGAAAAGACGGTGTAAGAGGAACCGAGAAAAGGATAAAAGGTGAACGGGATTTACGAATCTAGATGGCGATTGACATTGCATTTACCTTTTTGAAGATTGCAGTTATCAGGGAAGCAACGAAACGGAAGAGATGAGCTAGAAAATAAACTGTTGGAGTAGAAGTGGAGGTTACATTTTACTAATTCAATAGTAAAACGTTGGGGCATAGGCACCAGTTTAGTAGCACACTGAAACACACCAGGCAAATCGAGTAAATCGAGCACCAGGAAAAAAAAGCTCGTCGGAGCAGGTGCCATGAAAATATTTGTAGAGAAGACAGAGGGACGCCACATCAAATCTAAGAGTCAAAATACCAGGTCAGGATCGATTACATTACAGATCCTTCATTGACTTTCGTCAAGAACCTCGAGATGAGTAACAGGAACACCAGACCAGGTAGGACAATAGTATTTAATCCACGTGCGAATGGTAGATTTCTAAATGAGCAAGATGAACTTCGACGAGAAAAACCTTCTGGCACGGCACAGTGACCCAACCTCCCTTGCAGTAGATGCAGTTATCCATAAGATGTAGTCGTTTTACATCAAGTCAGTTGAAAACGTGTGCTGCTCTCCATCTCTCTAGGATCAGCCATGCTGTTAATGAGCCGGAAAGAATGTCACTGGTGGTTGAATGAAAACGGTTTCGTTTTCGACGCATTCAAATATACGGGCCATTTCCTGCCGCAGATAACCACAGGTTGGAAGTCCTTTTCAAGAGCATCGGCCAGGATAACTTTGACGGCTCTGGTAGATTTGCTATTGAGGCAGCAAGAAAATGTTAGTATCTTCAGTATAAATGCCTACACGGGAATTGATGGCATCAGAAAGATCATTGTTGAAGATCAGAAATAGCGTATAACCTCGGATAAAGCCTTGGGGGCACCCGCGTTCGTGTTAAAGGGTCTGGAAGCGAGACCGTTCAAAACGACCTTCATTTCACGATTGGATTAAATCAAATAGTCGTCGAGTAATACTATAGCTTTGGAGCTTACGTAGAAGACCAGTGTGTCAATCCCTGTCAAACGCCTTCGAGATTTCAAGAGATACAGCTCAGGCTTCGCAGGTACTATCAAGGGTTTGATAGACATATTCAATGATGGCCATTATCACATCAGTGTTAAATCTAGGAAAACGGAAGCCATGTTGTTTATCAGAGAATAGGTTGTGCGAGTTAAGATGCTTAACCATTTCAGCATTGGTTAAAACCTCGAAAAATTTGCCTGAAAGCTGTAGGAGATTAAAAAGGCGATATATAAGGGTATCAGAGGCGTCTTCAGAGTTATTAAAACAGGAGGAACAAGCTGGAGAATAGGAAGTAGCTAGCCAATAGTTGTAGAGTTTGGAGAGGAATGTAGCGAGCACAGGGGCACACATCTTTAGGACGATTGCTGGGATACTTTCACCTCCGCTATCCTTATAGGAGTTTACTTTAGAAAAAAATGTCTGAATTATCTATCTATCTATCTATCTATCTATCTATCTATCTATCTATCTATCTCGCTCTGTTCTTTCTTTATCTATCTATCTATCTATCTATCTATCTATCTATCTATCTATCTCAGTCTGTTATCTATCAATCTATCTATCTATCTATCTATCTATCTGCATCTAGGCCAGTGGTGAGTAAGCATATTCATTAATTTTTGAGATCGTTTAATCTATATTGTTCAACGCCTAGCTTTGTGGTTGTTGGCACGGAAAGCTAGATGAGAATGTTGAGTTCCTTTCCTCACCAATAGACTTGGAAATGTTTGAAACGGTATTCTTCTTTGCTAGAGAGAGGTTAATATCTTGTAAGATTGGGATTTCTAGGTTTGCTTCTAAGAGCGATTCTGAATTCAAAAAAGCTTAGGAATGGAGCTAACATCATTACACCCTCTAAAACAAACTCCATACGGAAACTACAGCAATCATTATGCAGTGAAACTCTATACGAGTGTAGTACACATATCATCTTAAAATTTTGTCATGTCGATCTTACAATCTATCTTATAAATCTATCTATCGAAACCTGTTCTTATCTATCTATCTATCTATCTATCTATCTATCTATCTCAGTCTATTCTTATCTATCTATCTATCTATCTATCTATCTATCTATCTATCTATCTCAGTCTGTTCTTATCTATCTATCTGTCAGTCGGTTCTTTATCTATCTATCTATGCCAGTCGGTTCTTTATCTATCTATCTATCTATCTATCTATCTATCTATCTATCTATCTATCTATCTATCTATCTATCTGTATAGTATCAAAGAATTGCAAGGAATTGAAAAACATACAAGCAACCTTAAATACGTGTTTAATATTCATTTCGTGTCAGTACCGATTGCGTGTTTTTCTAATCCCTTGCAGCATATTATTCCTTCGGATTCTGAATAAGTATTCTTCCTTTAATCAAACAACGATTGCTGAAAAAATCATAAAGTTTCTTGTTTAATCATCAACGTTCCGCTATGTCCTTAAATATTTATGTTTCTTAGAACAGAATAAGGAGGGAAATAACATGAAAGTAGTTTGGTGAATTAGTGGTGCATCAGGAATCAACCCAAATGATAAGCCGAGACCGAGATTACGGGTAATTGGATTCAAATAGAGTCAATGGAAAATAACAATCTTTAATATTTGATAAATCCAAGATGAAATATAGCTCATTATATAAAATACTAATATACATATATATTCACACACACACACACACACATATATATATATATATATATATATATATATATATGAGTTATGAAAAATTTGGTTTCTACTCATTTCCTTTAAAATATCACTTTGGAAAGTTTAGAAAGTTTAGACTTTAATACATGTATACGAAAGCACACTAGGATATATAATCTTTATATGATATACACAGATGCCTACGCATACGTAAAGAGGATATACAGGGCGATTTAAAAGTAAATCCTTATTTGATGTAGCGATTTTCCAAGCGTAGCTTAGATGTGGCACAAGACCGAAAGTATGGGGCACCTAGTGAGGTTCGAACTCACTACTCATTCGTAATTGTTCTAGCGACACAAGCTTACTAACCATTACACCACCTCAAGGTGCCCAAACCCTATTTGATGTATGAAAAACACTCCTGTCTGCTAATTAACATTTTTACAAGACGGAATATTACATCATACTTAAAACATAGAGTTAATTTTCAATTAGTATATATATATATATATAAAAGTGAAGATAGAAGTCAACACTTAGAGGCGACAGACTGTTTCATGCTATATGCAATCGTAAGTGTTGACTTCTATGTTCACTTTTATATTTACACGCTCTATCTCTGATATTGAGCACTTTATTCCATAAATATAGCATACCTTAAGACTATATTTCTTTTATATATATATATATATATATATATATATATATATATATATATATATAATAGCTACGGCAAGAAAAGAAACGTAAACAATAAGATTAATATATTTTTATAAAAATCAGATGAACGAAAATTAAAATCAGGATGAATTCAGAATTAAGAAGATTATAAAAAAAAATGCACAACACCAGTTGACAATACAAAAAAAATTACATTAATTATTTATTACAAAAAAATTAAGACCTTTAAACTTATAGTTAATAATAATAACTCACCTCCTAAAAAAAATTAGATAGGGCAAATATTATTTACGAATTTAAATGCCCATTAAGAAATTGTATTACTGATCAATCAAATTTCGTAAAAAATTATATAGACCACACTACAACATCTTTTTCATGCAGACTCACTCTGCACCTTTTTGACCATAGCTCAATTAGATCTCATTTAAATATTCATGGAGACCTACCGGACACTATTTGTAACATACTTGTTGATAACACTAATATAATGGCATCATCTACATGCAAAAAAAAGGCTAAAAATAATGAAATCCCTACTAATAAAAACAAACAAACCAACACTTAATAATATTAACTTTGAACATGGATATAATATCTTGACTATGTTTTGAAAAATGAAAACATTTGATAAAACATACATACAACAATCTACTTCTTATTGTAACAGTTAAAATATAATCCTTGAAAATGGCTAAATGTATAGCCGAAAGCGCTTGGAAAAAAAAGAACATTCGGACAATTTTTATATAATTTATCATCCGAAAAAAAAAGGTATTAGATCGCATGAAAAATTGTATAAAGAAACTAAATAAAATTACCTTGTCTATCGTTTTTAATGAAATATGCATTAAAGAAGAATTGCTGCCTAAATACACAAATATATATATATATATATATATATATATATATATATATATATATATATATATATATATATATATATATGTAAAACTTAAAAATAATAATAACATATATAAAACTTACAAAATAAACTAAATACGGTGATTACTAAAGGCAAAGTGTCGAAAGTCGCTCGAAATGACCTAAATGTAAATTTGTCCAAAGTTAAACCATCGGAGTTATAAGTTGAAGCTCTTAGCTTCAGTATAAAATTTACAAGACGATGGCTCTGTTTTCAACATAGGATATATCCAGATTCTAATTACAGCGACACAAAAAAAGTGACAACACGTCCCCTCAGATACTTAACGACGCTAAGAAAAATATCTAACAGCAAAAACATTTATCTATCCACTTCCCACAAAGGTGGTAGAATTATAATTATAGAAAAACATTTATTTACAACAAATGAAAGATCTCGATGACGATAACATCTACGATAAAATATATGAACTCGAGATCATAAAAGAGACACAAAAATTTCAAAACGAAACCATGTAATTACTAAAATACAAAGTCAGTTCATGGCTAAAACTCATCAAACAATATATAAATAGTTTAGATATAAAATCCTTATTTACAGATATTCCTATAAAGACATATCTGAATTTATTAAAACCTCACTTAGCAAGAACTAAAAGAAAATGATATATTCCTCCACATATACTCATAAAAATCTGCCATTTAATCACTGATCAAAGATTTCCACTTTTCAAGGAATTGACAGGAATTTGGTTTACCGTTGAGGTTTCCTCGCAGTCGAGTTTTAGGTTGCCTGTTTTGGGAATTTCTGAAAAGTGGTCCCTTTAAAGATATTTTACCACAAGATGCATAGATGATTCTGTACTAATATATCCAGAAGTCATAATTTTACCTGATCTTGTCAAATAACGACGAATCAACAATAGATTTTACTTCTGAATCTGAGCCTAAAAACTCTTTACCCTTCATGGATATAATGCCGCACAGAAATAACAACGAACTTCATTTTGAGGTTTACAGCTAATAACAAGAAAGAACTGATAAATTTTTATCCCATCACTCTACAAGATCAAATCGGATATAATTATAAGATTATATTTACGAAGACTAAGAATCTGCATCACCCAATATTTACCCAAAGAAGAAGACACTTAAAAAAAAGAAACTTCCGATATTCTTATTATTTCATCCAAAATGCAAAGAGAATTACGTACAGAACATACGGAAGCAAATAAAGGTATTATTAACAACATTAATCTAGATACAAACAGATTACATAATACTAATTACTAACTGCATAACATCCACTATTCCAAACAACCTATCGATTCTTAACATCAAAATAATTACAACTAAATCCAAAACTATTATGAATATAATCTGAAAGGAAAATTACCCATAATTCTGAAGCAGTTATATATAAAATAATTTGCTCCTTAAAATATATTGGTGGAACTTGCAGAAACTTAAAAAAAAAACAAACGTATCTTTGAGCAAAAAATGAATCTTATACATAAGAGTTTATCATACGCATTATTTATACACAGGAATAAATTCAAACACAACTTTAATCTAAAGAATAGCACACTTATTAAAAGGGGATCATAATCAACAATTTAACAAACGCACTAGTCATACACAGAAATAAATTCAACTGCAGTTTTGATCTAAAAAATGCCACACAAATCGAAAGAGAAAGTAATTTACTCAGAATGAAAATCTTCGTAATTTCCTTCATCGAATATTACCAAAATATCAATGTACGCGCCGGATTTGTCCCAATTCAAGGAATATGACATTGACAAAATTTCATACTTAGGAACATAAGGAAAGTTGGGTCACTGTGTCTTTCCAGAAACTTTTTCGCGTCCGATTCCATCTTACCCATTTAAAAATCTGTCATTCGTCCGTGAATTGAATAAAACAGCCATATTCGGTCTCGTGCTCCTGCTATTTATCTCGAGGTTCTTGACAGAATCCAAAGAATGATCTGTAATGTAATCGAGCCTGACTTGGCAAATCGACTTCAGTCACTTTTTCAGCGACGTAACGAGGCTTCACTGTGTTTTTTACAAATATTTTCATGGCAACTGCTCTGACGAGCTTTTTCCCTGCTACCCTGAATACATGAATGTAACCGTGATACTAGATTGGCATCAAAGTCCCAACATTTACTGTTGAAATAACTAAATACAACCCCCTCCTCTGCGCCATCAGTTTCTTCTCTCGTACTTTACGCTTGTGGAATTACTCCCTGTTTCCTTACTTCTCTGAAAAATACAAACTTTAAATATTTAAATGCGATGTCAGTCACCATCTTCTTGAATCATTTGTCCTTTCATCCATCCTCCCTATACTCTTTTCGTTCACTTTCCCTCTCTGTAAACCCTGCGTACTAATGTTATTCCTGTTTTGCTTGAGGAGATATGATTTTTAAAGAAATATTATATTTGTTATTTATGTTAATATTATAAAAGTTTTAAGGACAACAGGTTTTAGTATTAAATTAAAGTTAAAATAAATATAATATTGTACAGTGTACAAACATATTTTACACTTCTCTTTACGACTTTTGCGTACAAATCTTATCCCGCTCGTTAAGGAGATAAACTAGTAAAATTCATTTCCCCCCATCGACTGAAAGACGCTAACATTTTTCTTATATAGATTACAAGCAATAATCATTCAATTAAAAAAGCCCAACATTACTGAGTCGAGTTATCACTTTTATTTTTGTTGTAGGAATGACATTTCATTATTCATCATAGAACACGAGATCATATTTTGCTGTTTTACAGTTTTAAATCCCTGTGCCAATAACTCGCATGTTAAATTTGTTGGAAAAATCAAAAGCTCACATTTGCCTGATTCATTTCGCATTGTCAATTATGCTAACGGGTTACGTCAATCATTGTTTCAAAACAAAAGTTGCGAATAACAGAAACAGAAGAGAATTAATTAGAAATGGTGGGTGAAGTTATATTTAGATATTCGATTAATGTCCCTTCG